GGTTCTTTGTGCAAACATTTTTGGAGTTTGAGTTGCATGACATTCTAAAAATAAAGATTCTTTTAAAGGTTATGTATTACATAGGTTTGCTATGTGATAAGTTTGTCACATAGTGGTATAAGTTTCTTTCTTTATTATTTATAATTGTTTAAAAGATAGCAATGTAGATTATGTCAGCAGTTTTTCCTCTCTTAATAAAATGAAATTTTTTTAATATCAAATATCAAATATCAAATAAAAGTCTGTATTTAATAATAGCAACAGATGATTTTGGCAGTCCATCCCCTTAAAACACTGAAATTTATTTAAAGTAAAAGTAATAAAATAAAGCAGTTTTTATTGACTATTATTTATTTATTTAGAGGTTTCTAATTGTTTTAAAATAGTAATATAGATGATTTTAGCAGTGCAACCTCCCTTAATAATCATTTACATTTATTTAAAACTAATGCAAAGCTAATTTATTTATTTATTTATTTTATTTAACTCTATTTATTTAGAGGCTTTTCATTGTTTAAAAAAAATCTAAATAAATAATTTAAATTTCTTTAAAACCAATGCAAAACTAATCAAATATAAATAAACGTTTTACTGACTGTTATTTATTTTTTATTTAGAGGCTTTTATTTGTTTACAAGATATATTTAGCAATGCAGATGATTTCTGCAGTCCATCCTCTCTTAAAACATTAAAATTTATTTAATGCAAAACTAATCAGATATAAAATAAAGCATTTTATTCATTTATTTATTTACTTGCTTATAAATTAGTATCAGTCTGATTTTGGAAGCAGAAACTTTGGAAGTTTATTGTTATTGATGGAAATGTTTCGATCATTAAGAACAGATGCTCAGCCCATACAACTTTAAGTATTTTGTTCTCTTTTTATTTGTGATCATGAGTGCAGTTAAGCACATCTGGCTCCATCAGTGTGATACGGGCTGTGAGGCTGGTGGGTTTGAGGTGTCCGTCAGTGAGTTTATCCTGAAGCGCCGCTACAGACGGCAGTCTCTCAGAGTAATGGCCCCCGGCGGTGACGGCCTTTGATTGTCCTCATTGAGCCCCTTTCATCTCTAATAGGGCTGTTTGCTGCTCTGTAATGACTGCTCATGTATTGTGTCTCTCTCAGTGCTGCAGGGGCCGGAAGCTGAACACACACAGCCAGCTGAGCAAAACCAGCATCACATCACCACAAAATAAACACACCAACATACCGATATTGAAATAAAATGTATTTCTATATAAAATATATATACAGTCCTTTAATTTTAATGGTATATTTATATATATCGGTATGCTATGGTGTATATATATATATATATATATATACACCATAGCATACCGATATATATAAATATACCATTAAAATTAAAGGACTGTATATATATTTGTGTGTGTAGTTATTCTCAAAAATATTATTATACATTTTGAAAAAAACAATAATTTTAATTAAAATTAAAATGTCCTTAATATTTGTTTTTATTATTTTTAAAGGGGTCATATGATGCTGCTAAAAAGAACATTATTTTGTGTATTTGGTGTAATGAAATGTGAATATTGTTTTATTAATATTTTGAATTAGTTTTTATTTTATATTTTCTGTTTTTTTTTTATTTTTAGTGAAAGTTTTAGCAATTTAGTTTTTGTTGAGTTTTATATTTTTTATGTTTTATATTTGATTGTATTTGAAGTTAATATTTATTATATTATTATATTTCATTTCAAGCAATGAATATGTTTTTAAGGTTTTAGTATATATATATATATATATATATATATATATATATATGTGTGTGTGTGTAGTTATTCTCAAAAATATTATTATACATTTTGAAAAAAACAATAATTTTAATTAAAATTAAAATGTCCTTAATATTTGTTTTTATTATTTTTAAAGGGGTCATATGATGCTGCTAAAAAGAACATTATTTTGTGTATTTGGTGTAATGAAATGTGTTTATGTGGACACAGCGTCTTCACGACATGGCTGCAGCGTCAACAAAACTACAGTGAGACTAAAAGTTACGCCTTCTTTCTTTGCGTGAACATTTGGGCGGTGTTATGCAAATCTTCCCACATAGTGAGGTAGATATGTGGGGGCGTGTTAGAACGAGCCGTTTTAGGTAGGTGTGGCTGACTCTGAACTTTTATAAAGAATATCTCTTTGGATTTGAGACTTTAGTCTTTGCAACTTTACAGATCTTCTTTATGCACCAAGAGCTTGTAACACTCCAAAGAGAAAGGAAAAATTGAAATCGCATCATATGACCCCTTTAATAGTTTTTTTTTATTTTATAAATCTTTATTTCAGTTTTAGTTATTTTAGTACTTCAAGTTTACTATTTTTTTTTTACTACATTATTTTAAGTTAATGTTTATTTTATTTCAAGCAATGAAAATGATTTTTATTGTTTTAGTTACAACTTTATGCTGGTATATATTAATATGCTGGTAAAATAAAATGAAAAATTAAATGATATTCTCATTTTAAATCAAAATTGTTTTTGTTTTACAACCTTAAATACTAAATATTATTATAAGTTTAAAAATCAAATTAAAATGTTCTTAAATTTGACATTAAAATTGCATATTGCAACTGCATAGACCAAAACGACCTGTGACCCATTATATACTATATAATTTCATGATAAAAACCTAAAAATATATTCAAATATATTGCAAATTTGTTTTCTTCTTAATATTGAGAATATTTCTTAATCCTAAATACTTTGCTATTCTTTTTGTGTGCACAGATTGTGTTTATTTCTACATTTCTGCAATACTCCATTAGCACTTAAATTATGATCGTATGTCTGTTTAATCACTTTAATACGGCCTCTGGTTAGTGTTCCTGTGTGTTCTTGTCTTTTGTTTGTTATGCAGGGAATGTCCATGAAAGTCACTAATCTGGTTAATCCCATCAGTTTGATTGCAACACATCCAGTAATCCCTCATTTATTCCAATCAGAGGAATCGAGCTCAAAGAACGACCCGAGGAACCGGCCCGGATGGAAAAGCCGGTCTGCGATTACGCCGGGAACTCAGACCGTCGGCCAGAGCCCCAGAGCCCCGGAGCCCCGTCTCCAGAGCCGAGGCCAGAGGTGTCCCGGGACGCTCCAGTGGCACATTCAGAGCACTTTTGTTTCAAACCTGGAACCGGGGAGGGGAAGTGTGATGGAGGCATTAAGCCCTGCTGAGCATAACTGCCGAAAGCCACCCACCCCATCTATTACGACGCTCATCATTGAGGAGCCGGGGCCAGATCAGCATGTTTGTGAATGCTTGCAGATCATGGACACTTGACTGAAAGGAGTGTCCTCGCGGAGAAAGACGAGGGAGGAGGGAACGCTGCATTTAGGCCTTTCCTTTTCCTGTTAAGAGTGTAATGCAAAGGCTGACGTGAGGTGTGAACATAGATGTGCCCTTTGAAGTTCAAATGACATTTAGAGGTCAATTATGTTGTTAGCAGAAGGTGTCTGCTGGGTTCAAACCGCCATAAATTACAACTTAAAGGTATAAAACGAGACGCGGCCGTTTATGTCCTGTCAAAACTGAAGACGCGCCATTTAAAGAGGCTGCAAACTGGAGATAAAACAATATAGTGTTTCACACTGTCCATTAGTGAATTACAGACTTCTGTGACAGAATATCATAAAAAGACTAGGAGAGGAGACTCAAAATATTGTTAGTGTTTTTTGTATTAATTCAAAATACTTTCTGTGGTACTTTGGCCGTTTCAGATAGTAATGTAACTGAATCACTGTCATATTCATGAACTATAATATTTATTCTGTACTGTAGGGTTTTATAAAGAATGTACACAGTTGTAAATAAAACATTTAAGAGAATATTGGAGTGTTTTAAAAGAAAATACTCTTTCAATTGTTTCTAAATTCAAACTTGCAGGTTTAATTCATTAAATGTGATTTTTTTATTTTTTACTATGGTATTACACATACACACTAAAAAGTGTCATACTTTAGAAAAAAATGGTATCAGTAGGGAATTTAAATTTTAATTTTAGTTAAAGGAGGAAGATAGTAATGTTAAAAAATACACATCTTTTATAAGGTTTCACAGCCGTGTCACGTGCCTGCCAAAACACAATGGCTGCTGAATTTAGTGTGTATTTATTTTTTTCTTATTTAGTCTGTTCTTCCCCAGTATTCAAGAAGAAAATATTTAAAATATACAAAGATGCCGAAAAGCGGGCCATTCTCTTTTCAATCACGTCCTATAATATTTACATATGAAATGTGAACATAACTGGGAGCTATAATATAAGGCTCGGTGATGGAAGCACTGACACATTTGTAGTGTTAGTCGGAGATGGACAGACTCAGGCATTTCGTTCAGATGGAGGAGTAAACTGTAAACAGACCCAGGTAGGCAAAAATCTCCTCTTCCGTCTTTGCTCTGACATACAGATTCTGTACAGTTTTACAATTAAACATTCAATATTAACATATAAAACCTATATATTATTTTAGATAATATAAAGGCCAAATTGTATTTTATATATATCCGATTACATAGATATGTTAAAGGGGTCATATGATGCGATTTCAAGTTTTCCTTTCTCTTTGGAGTTGTTTGTGAATAGATAAGATCCCTAAAGCTGCAAAGACTAAAGTCTCAAACCCAAAGAGATATTCTTTATAAAAGTTAAGAGTCAGCCACGCCTACCTAAAACGGCTCGTTCTAACACGCCCCCACATACCTACGTCACAATGTGGGAAGATTTGCATAACGCCGCCCAAATGTTCACGCAAAGAAAGAAGACGTAACTTTTATTATCGCTGTAGTATTGTTGCTGCCGCCGCTGCCATGTCGTGAAGACGCTGCGTGTTTCATTGTGAAAGCGAAACTACTTTGTTTGGCCTTCCAAAAGAGGACACAACTAGAAATCAGTGGTTAAGTTGTATTTAACCACTAAAAGAAAGCTGTTTAGACAATAAATAACTCACTGTTAGAAATTAATTGTGGTGTTTTAAAGGTGTTCATCTTTGACAGGCATAACTTTTCATCAGCATTGCAGTGGGGTCTCCGCTGGGTTTCGGGTTAACCTGCAACACATCTACATACTTACTTCAGTTGCTGAGTAATGTGATCATAAATGCAGACCCAGCAAGTGAAATCTGTCCTTGTACCTTTAATATGTGTCGGTCCTGAACTATAACGGGATGTCCTGCCTCCATGCTCTCCGAAAACCACCTGGTGTCCAACAAATGGACAGAACTGGAGGCATCTCGTCCAGTTTGGTTGTCCAACCAGGCCTGGACTTCATCTCCACTGTTGTTTTCTGACACAACATGTGTGACAGAGGAACTGTAAGAGAAAAACCAACAGAAATTTGCACCCCTACAAAAAAAGCACGGTGGTAGTAAAGTGATGATGGTTTGTACCTGTAGGTTTCTTTAATAAGAAATCCTTTGCTCCATCCTAGTCGTATAAGAAATGCTCTTCTAGATGTTCCCATCTTCCTCTCCAAGATGAATATAGAAACATTAAGAAATTTACAGGTGTCATTATGTTGGCTATTAACAGGTAGAGAGACTTTCCTGCATTTTAATGGTATCATAGTCTAGAATAAACCACTCTGGATCCTCCTTCTGCCAAAAATCATATAACCTTCATCACCCCACCACCACAGAGTAGATCAGATCAGACCCTCTGTGCTGATTTCTGCACTTCCACCAAGGGTTGCCAGGTTTTCACAACAAAACCAGCCCGATTGCTACTCAAAACTAGGCCAAAACTCGCCCAATCGCGTTCCGGGCGTAAAATACACGTAATATACACTTTTGTCCGGTAAAATTCGCACTCCATGGGGCTAAATATCACGTTATTGTGGTCTGACATGAAAAACAATCCGTTGCAACAGTGTGAAAGTAGCCCAATTCTGCTGTAAAACCGTGGATGTGGCAACACTGAGTACTTACAAGTGCGTGCATCGGTGGCCCGAAAGTTGTCTCTAAGTAGTCACCGTGGGTATAGATAATAAGTATTCAGATTTAACTCTTCACTTGGTGTTTTTAAATGAAACAGCTATAAAGTAATTAAGCTTATCAGTATAATTATTTAATTAAAGGGGTCATATTATGCTGCTAAAAATAACATTATTTTGTGTACGGCTTAGCGTGAGCGTGAGGGGAACGGCGCGGCCGGCGGATTCGACGAAGGAGCGGCAACCACATGTGACGACCCTGGGCTGGACTCCGCTTCGTCCACGGTGAAAGCCGATCCGGCGATCCACAGCACTAAGTTGATGTATTTCCTCAGCGACCAGCACAGATCAGCTCTAGGCATGACGAAGCAGATATCGTCCTCTTTTGGAAGACCAAACAAAGTAGTTTCGCTTTCACAACGAAGCACACAGCGCCTTCACGACATGGCGGCAGCAACAACAATACTACAGCGAGAATAAAAGTTACGCCTTCTTTCTTTGCGCGAACATTTGGGTGGCGTTATGCAAATCTTCCCACATAGTGAGGTAGATATGTGGGGGCGTGTTAGAACGAGCCGTTTTAGGTAGGTGTGGTTAACTCTTAACTTTTATAAAGAATATCTCTTTGGATTTGAGACTTTAGTCTTTGCAACTTTACAGAGCTTCTTTATGCACCAAGAGCTTGTAACACTCCAAAGAGAAAGGAAAAATTTAAATCGCATCATATGACCCCTTTAAAAGTTGTCCTGATCGCTGCGGTGTTATCACGTGGTATCTGTTACTTTTCTCTGCGCTGGTGAAGACGGACCAATCGCAGCCATTTGTGATTACTGGAAAATTAATTCAAAAATAATTTTACATTTGTTCTGCCAGATTCCAATTATATAGCAAAGTATCAAGAATGTTAATTAATATATTTAAACGTTAATAGCGTTGTAAACAAACGTCTCCAAAAACGTAAGGCATCTTCATATTTGAATGTGACTCTGTGAGCTCAGGTTTTTGTGCCACAGGCGCCACCTATCGGAAGACAGACCTCATGTCTCATAGGATTGTATCCAGGGGGATCTATTTTGAGTGGTACACATGTTGAGAAAGTTTTGGTGCACCCATAAAGTGTTCCGACTGGGTGCAGACTTGCTATATTAACTTAACTCACAGTAGTTATATAATAAAAAATAAAATAATAAAAGCGAAAGGGCAGATTTTCTTGATCTTCAAATGCATTTACAATAGCATGAAGCCATATGTGATTGTAAAACAATAACACACAATCACGTGAAAGGGAGGGGATGTGACCTTGCAATAAAACGCACATGGTCATGTTTGTTCAACTTTTATTTTGCTCATTTGAGATGCCATTTTTGTTCTAAATTTCTCTAGAATTGTTAGTACTTACGTGAATAAATGAAAATGATAGAAATATATCGCATTTTCATATGGCATATAAATTATACTTAAACTTATATTTAAACTCATATTTAAATGTATATATATATATAGAGAGAGAGAGAGAGAGAGAGAAGCAGAAGATTTATTGTGGAATATTTTTGTTGTCAGAGCAATAAACAATAATTCATAAAACATTTTAAAACAATAAAAACTACCCAGAACATATTTTAACAGACACAACCTTTGTGTAAAAAAGAGAAAATTATTATTTATTATTTAGTTATTTTTTTATGTTATTACTTCATTATGAACTGTGACTTTATGTGAACGCATCAGCTGTTAGATCAGGCAGCAGTCATATGACACACTGAGTGTCTCACTTCCTCAAACTTTCTCAGTTCATCCCACCGTGTGTGCTGCAGTTCGCCACTCAAAGCCCCCGACTGCTTGACTCCGTTTTTCCAGGCTTCCAGACTGCGGGTTTGGTCTGGTTTTGGCCTCATGGCGAGCTCGTGGGTCGGTCAGTGGAGGTCCAGCGCGTGGGTCGTGTCCACCTGTCTACTGGTCGCGCTTCTCACCTGCACGCTCAGGTGTTCCGAATGCGTCACACTGAGCAACATCATCCTCATTCTCACCGACGACCAGGATGTGGAGATGGGGGGAATGGTAAGTGTACAAAATTAGCCTACAAATGCTTTTTTATTGGTCGTGCACCATGACCGTATCACTTTTGCACAAAGTGTTGTGCTGTACTGTAACGTCATACAGTGGTTTCAGATACTTTAATTTATGCACCATAATGTTGACGTTTTATTTCAGTGAACTTACAAACATACACACAAAAAAAATTCCATAATAAATTAGTGTCATTTTATGATGTTCTTGAAATTAAGGCTATTTTAGCCTATTTTGCGTTTTTTTTTTTTCAATATATAAATATAATATTTAAAAATATATATTTTTATTAAGGCAATATATCAGTGAATTTCCAAGAATACCATGGTACTACCTTGGTGTATGTCCAAACACACGCACACACATTAGTACTATGTATATGTACATATATTCACCTCAAATTCAAACAGAACAAATTTAAGAAATTATATTGTTGATGCAATGAAGGCTATTATAGGATTTTTTTTTTGTTTACATTGTTACATTTTATCACGAAAATCAAGCACATTTAATTTCACAGTTCTCATTCTGATAATGCAAAAATCTAGTAAATGATGTTAAATATATACTGACACTATAGCATTCTCTATTCTTTTTCTATTCTATCTTCTTGTTTACTTTTCATTTATTATCAAAACTGACCCTCTAACACTAGCATTCTCTATTCTTTTTCTATTCTTTTTACTTGTTGTATTTAAAAAAAAAAAACTCTAACACTAGGTCAAGGTCAAGGTAATTCTCTATTCTTTTTCTATTGTCTACTTGTTTTTCTTTATTTGTTAAAAAAAAAACCTTGCTATTTGTACTGCATTAGACTAACCGAGACTTGTCACAGCACTTTCATATTATTGCTCTTTTGTTAGTTTTGATTGCTTCTATTGTCCTCATTTGTGAGTCGCTTTGGATAAAAGCGTCTGCTAAATGACTAAATGTAAATATATTAAAATTTATTATTTAAATTCAAAAGTATTTATACATTGTAGCATTTGTTATACTAGGGGATTTTGCATTAATCTTTCTGCTTATATATATTTAAAATATGATTTTATTGAGACAGTACATCAGTGAACTTCCAAAAATACCAAAGTAAAAACAACAACTAAGATGATGCATCATACTGACACTATAGCCATCTTATTTAGTGCTTTTTTTATCCACAGACGCCTATGAAGAAGACCAAAGAACTGATCGGTGATGCTGGTGTAACTTTCTCCAATGCTGTGAGTGCTCAGCCATAAACCAAAGACCTTAATGATTCTGACCAAATATCACAAGTTTCTCCTTTCCTGTTGTGTTTAGTTCACTGCCACCCCTCTGTGCTGTCCCAGTCGCAGCAGCATCATCACTGGTAAATATCCACACAATCATTTGGTCCGAAATAACTCAATTTCTGGCAACTGCAGCAGCACGGCGTGGCAGAAGGAGGCCGAGCCCTTTGCCTTTCCGGTTTACCTCAATAAGATGAGCTACCAGACCTTCTATGGTGGGAAATACCTGAATCAGGTCAGCTTTTGACCCGCCTGGTGCTCTATGCACTATCACTGACCTATTTGCATGGTGTTCATTTTTTGAAATTTGCGTACAATGATATCAGAAGCTCTGCACAACGTGTTTAAATATTTGCAATCTTTCAAATGTCTGAAGTGTTCTAAGCCAACAACATTCCTACAGGTTTGAGAAGTTTGAAATACTGCTAATGTTTATGTTCCTTTTCAGTTACTTTCCTGTCCTGGTTACCTCAAATTCAAGACTAGAATAGAATAGAATATTTTTTGTGTTTTCTGATTACCATGATTCAATACAATACATATTTTTTTTTATCTGCAGTAGTACAACAAATGCAATCATATATAAATACTTCACTATTTAAATATAATATATATTTTCTATATTTTTTTGCATTATAGTAATGACAACTGGTTGATGAAAACGTGCTTAATTGTCATAAAAAAAATAATGTTGCAATGCAAAAAATCTCCAGTTGTTCACTAAAACATGTCCAGGTCACATTTTACCCAAAATTCTACAAAATAAATATATATATATATATATATATATATGTCCCCTTTTAGCACCGTTAAGATTTTTGTCATGTGACTTCATTTTTATGATGATTAAGCACATTTATCCCCCAAATTCTGATTATTATCAGAAATGTACTATAATACAATCCTTTTTTATTTCAGTCAGCAGCAGTAGTACAACAAATGCTACCATGTATAAATACTTTGCAGTCTAAATAATATATATTTAACATAAATGGGTGCACACGTCTAAATCTTTGCATTATTTTAATGAGAATTGGGAGATGAAAGGTACTTAATTTTCGTGAAAAAATGTCAGTGCAAAAAATTCTTTAAATAGCATTCGTTTCATCAACAAAATATAGTGTCTTATTTTTCTAAAATCTAAAAAATATCAGTTTTGAGGAAATATGACTGGCATGTTCTTGACTGGTTTCATGAGATTCTCCCAGTCACTGTTTTCCCTCTTACAGCTCACATAAATCCCTCTCTGTGTCCTCAGTATGGAAGTAAAGACGCAGGCGGTGTGGATCATGTGCCTCCTGGCTGGGACCAATGGCACGCACTGGTAAGTCATGAACTGATGCAGCATTCCAACACTACTTCCCTTTTACATTCAGATCAGCAGGGAAAAGCTGTATGTGCTGCAATATGTTCTATACTTCCCTTATCTGATGATGTCTGTCACCTATAGACAAGCATTCGTGCAGAATGCATGGTTTAGTATGGTCATGTGATGCAGCGGTCTCATTACAACTTGCACTGCAAAAGCAGATCTGGTTTTGAACCATTTAATTTCTCTTTTACTGATGGTTTCAGGGCAAATATTTCATTTTGTAGTATGATCTAACAGTGTTTTGGTTTTATTTGTGTATCCGCAGGTGGGAAACTCTAAATATTACAATTACACACTGTCTGTGAATGGAAAAGAGGAAAAACATGGAGACAACTATGAGAAGGACTATCTCACAGACCTGGTTGTAAGTTTTTAATGCTTTTAAGTGTAGAGTCAACATTAAAACAAAATTTGTAACCAATTTTACTTCCATAATGTGATGCACTTCTGGGTTAAACAGGATATTCAGTGAGGAATAAAATGGACTTATTTTATTTATATATAAATAAATTATAAATATATGTTTGGGTCAAAGACGTTAAGATGTCCACATCAAAAGAAATTGATTTTATGTCCATAGAAGGCACATTAAATGCAAGTAAAGTGTCTACTTTTAAGGTTTCAAATAAGTTTTTGAAGAAGAAATGTCAAAATTTGGTTGAAATAATGTTCCATTGTCATTCAGTGTAACACTTATAGTTATGTAAAAATTCAAACATGCTTATTCTGCCGTGTACATATTAAAATATATAAAAGAATAAGGGAGCATATTAAATTTGATTGGGTTTTAAATTAGTAAAAAATTCTTACTGACAAATGGGCAAAACCTAGGATAGTGGCAAATTTTAAAAGTGTAATATTACAACTAATTAGTATTTGGGGTGAAAAGAATTAGTTTTTTAATATGTCATAAATAGATTTTTGTTGTAAATATGCAAGAATGTTATACTGAATGACATTTTAGTGGGTGTCTGTAAATCAGGGAAAAATGTATGATATTTATTTTTTGCTCAGAAAAACAAAAATACAATTACATTAAACAGAAAACGTTTTAATTTTTCTTTTTTTTGGAAAAACAACTATTTAAAGCAGTATTGTTTTTATGCTTAAACCCTTTTTCGTCTTTGACCCATATATATAAATACATTATAAATATATTTTATTATCTATTTTGTGGAGGGGCTTTTTAAAAATCTGAAATAGGCAAGTTATTAAATATTCATACATTTTTTTTAGTGCTGTCAAACGATTAATTGCGTCCAAAATAAAAGTTTTTGCTTACATAATATATGTGTGTACTGTGTATATTTATGTATATATAAATACACACACATACATGTATATATTTAAGAAAAATATGTTATATTTGTATATTAAATATATTTATATATAATATAAATTATATACATGTAAATATTTTCAAAATATATACATATACATAATAAATATACACAGTACACACGTATATATTATTTAAACAAAAACTTTTATTTAGGATGCGATTGATCGCGATTAATCGTTTGACAGCACTAAAAAATTTCAAAGACAATCTTTTTATTTTGAATAAGTAGCCCTGATAAATAGTTCACAATAAGCCTAGGAATGCGTATTAGGAAAATAAATAGAGAAATTTGACTTCAAGTTGGAGCATGTCATGTCACATTAAATCAATCATTAATTTTTAGAGGCATCAACAGTCACTCAATTCTTGCAAGCATTTACTTCCTGCTAAATGTGACAGCCAATGAATTTTGTTTTGTTTGAATGAAACTTGTTTTACATTGGAAATGCATCCGTTAACACAATGTGGTTACCAAATAATATCTGTTTTAGAACAAGATACAATCTGTTCGCCTCATGAGTGACTGAGAAGCCACGTAGTTTAATTCTGTGTAACTCTGAACGTTAGAATGTGCCTCCACACGTCAGCCTGTCCACTCAGCAGTGTGTCATGCGATTTCTGTGGGACGCATGACTGGACTGCTTGATATCTGAAACCTGGGCTGCAATCTTGCGTCACCAACCGCTGCTCTGTTATTATTTAAGTTAGGGCAGGTGTCCCAGAAACAGATTAACACTAGTCCTAAACTCCACTCACAATTGTTGTTTTTCCATAGATAAGCCCTTTCAGTCTGGGGCTGTGTGAATCCTGTTTGTTTGCCTGAAGTTTTAAAAAATATATCTTACA